CCTCCGGAACCTGGCGACAGCCGAATGGAGCATGGTTCCGGATCGACTACATCATGCTTCCACTCTCGTGGCTGACCTTTGATGTGTCTACCAGTGTGCTTACGGATGTCGAAGTCCTGCAAAAAAGGGACGACCACCTCCCCGTGCACTTGACATGCAGCTTCTCCCGTGCAGCTCAGCCAGACCGTTTCTATACCAGTGCAAAGGTAACCGTCCGCCCGGACCCACAGTTTCACAACACCGAGGCAGCAAAGGAGGCCATGCTCAGTGTACCGGTTTGCCCTTGGAGCACCGACAGTGACCAGCATTATCACAGCCTATCTCAGAGCTGGATACAAGCTGCACGTGGCCTCGTAGGTGCCGATAAGAGCCGACCTGTGCAACCCTACTTGAGTAAGGGCACCCTCGAGCTGGTACAGGTGCGGAGGGCTCTTCGCAAGTACCTCCGGGATGAGACAGTAGAGTATGCCAAGCGCTGGTGTATGATTGCCTTTGCAGGACTCAGGTTACATGCAGAGGGCCGTCATTTCACACCGCGTGCAGTTGCACTTGCAGACACATGGCTCAGCGATGTTGACCATAGCCTAGCGAGAGCAGCCGCCCTTCTGGACTGGTTCGGACGCCAGCTACGAAAGGCAGTCCACAACGACAGACGAGGCTACTTGCAAAAGCTCGCCGAAGCAGCTATGGGCTGCGATTTCCGCAACCCTAGAGAGCTTTACCAAGCCATCCGGCGAGCCTTCCCGGCAGCATGCTCATCCAGGCGAGGCAGGCTTACTCCTCTCCCTACACTCATCAAGCCTGATGGGACGAAAGCCCAGACCTCAGTCGAACGGGCAGAGTGCTGGCGTGTCCATTTCGCGGCGCAGGAATCAGGCGAGCTCATAACCGCCGCTGACTACGCTAGTAAGGTCAGTCCAGCCCGTCATCCACCGGGCCCTCCCCGCTTTGACCTCAGCGTCATCCCCACTCTCGGGCAGACAGAGCAGTCCGTTGTCACCCTCCGCAACAACAAGGCAGCCGGTCCTGACGGTGTTACCTCTGAGATACTGCGACTACACCCTGTCGCAGCCGCGAGGAGGTTGATTCCACTCCTCATGAAGACCACCTTCCAGATACGCGAGCCCGTTGGCTGGAGGGGAGGGGACCTCGTAGTTCTGGCAAAACGGGCAGGTGCCGCACTTAGGTGCGAGAATTTTCGGTCGATACTCATCTCCAGTGTCACCGGGAAAATCTACCACAAATGCATTCGGAACCGCCTCAAGCAGCACCTCTTACCTCACATGCCACCTTTGCAAGGAGGTGTCCAAGAGGGCGTGGGCATCGAGTTCCCTGCGCTTGCGATCCGGACTTTCGTGCACCAGATGCACGGGCTCCGCAAACCATGGGCAGTGGTTTTTTACGACCTTGCGGCAGCCTTCTACTCGATAATACGACAGAGTCTAGTGCCCGGCACTGATTCTGATGAGGGACTAGTCCGGCTCCTCCACTCATTGCACTTGCCTCCCAGAGCGCTGGTCGAGCTTAAGCAGCACCTACAACAAATGGCAGAGTTGCCACGGCTTAACGTCAGTAGTCACCTGAACGGCCTCGTCGCCGACCTGCTGACGGGAACATGGTTCAGGTTGAGCGGCCACCACGCCTTAACCCTCACCCACAGAGGGTCACGACCAGGCGATCCCACCGCCGACATACTCTTCGCCTTCACACTGTCAGCCTATCTACATCGAGTCGACAGCTTGTTGGCTGATGCTGGATTGGCCCAACACAAGGTCGCTCCTCCCGCCAGACCAGATTGGGCAGCAACCAGCCGGCCCTCCAGCTATGGTCACCCTGCCTGGGCTGACGACTTCACCCAACCGCTTGTCGCGGCGACACACGAAGACCTCATCCGCGAGGCGGAGGAATCTGTCGCTCTCCTTACGGCACATGCCACGACGCTGGGGATGAGCATCAAATTTGGGCCGGACAAGACAGCAGTCGTCATTTCTGAGGCGACCAAGAAGGCAGTCGGGGGTACCCGTATCAGTCGAGACGAGGATGGGGCTCACCTCCTTATCCAGTCGCCTTGGCAACAGGAGCCCCACCGCCTTCCCGTCGTCTCTGCTTACAAGCACCTTGGGGGCATCATTACCTCTAGTGCAACACCTGCGCCAGATCTGTACTTTAGGTACTCCAGGGCGGAAGGCACCGCAAGGCCGTTGCGTAGAGTGCTTTTCAGCTCGCGACAATTTTCCGTCACAGTCAGGCGCAATCTGCTACGAGCGCTTGTGGTCACCAAATATGTACACACGGGGGCCGCACTCGTGCTACGAGCTGCCTGTCACATGCGGCTTTGGGAACGGCACTTGATTGCCCTGTGGCGCAACCTGTGCCGACGCACCAGTGCCGAGGAGCAAGAACACCCTTATGCAGTGCTCCTGCAAGCCGGCGCAACCTCCCCACCGCTCGCCTTAGCCAGAGCGAGAGCCGGCTTCCTATGCAAGATCGTCACCCGAGCTGATGATACCCTGACCGGCCTCCTCTGCGACCACTTTCTGCTCCACCCAGCGTCTTCTTGGCTGGGTCAACTTGCAGATGACGTCGACCAAGTGGCGCAGTATCTACCGGCCGTCCGTCGACATCTGCCGAGAGGTCAAGAGGTCCCTGCACTCCTTGTTGCCACCAGGGAAGATCCCACATGGTGGGTGCGACAGGTTAAGGCCACCGAAAGGCTTTTTACCAAAGAGCTCGAAAGTTGGCAAAACACGAGGGGCAGCGACCAGCCAAGCACATCCAGCAAGCTCGGGCTGGTGGCGACAGCCGTCGCAGGCGATGCCCCTCCTTCACCTCCGCGCCCCTATGTCTGTCGCCACTGTGACAAAAGCTTCCTGCTTCGCAAACACCTTTGCTTGCACCAGGCCAAGGCTCATGGGCACCTCAGCCCTAGCCGACACTTTGCCATCTCTGAGCACTGTGCAGCCTGCCACAAGTATTTCGGTGTGGTGACGCAGGTGCAACAACACCTCAAGCAGTCCTCGCCATGCCTACTTCGTTGCTGCCATCTCTATCCGCCCATGACCAAGGACGAGATAGCAAGAATCGAAGCACCGATCAAGGCACGCAAAAAAAGAGTGTGCTCGGGAGCCTGGTCCCACTTTGTAGGTTCTGCCCCACCTACAGCAGCGCCAAGGATCCTGGGGCCATTTATGCCCACAGCCGCAGAACGAGCCGTCAGCGACTGCACTGACGAGGAGGCCTCCATTGCTTCCCTCAAGCGCCATTACGTGCCTGGTTCTGAGACCCTGACTTGGGTACAGAACTACATTGCGGAGAAGTCCAGCGAGGGCCCTCGCGTCACGGCGAAGCGCTTCTGGCAGCAAAGACCGGGCAAGGCTGCTCCATGCACGTCTGTTTCACCCGCTTGAATTCATTCATTTTTGGGACGCGCCCTAATGAGGGCCCTGGAGTCCGCAGAAGAAGAAGAAGAAACCCTAAACCTTAAACCCTAAACCTTAAACAAGAAACGACAGTTCAGGGTCGGGGTAGACCCTCGAGCTTACGCCATCCACTTCTGAGGGTCCATGATCCCTAGATGCTTGGGGTGTACAGGGTTTCGGGCTTAGAGAAATGTAGGGATTAGAATAGGGTTTTGGGGTATATTATACGATAATAAGAATAAAGAACCCGCAAAATAGTCTAGGCAATTATTAAGGCCCTTGAATTTCCGTGCCCAGGGTTTGACATATTCAAGCCCCCAAGCAACCCAGCTTCCTAAACCTTATGTTTACATGCTCCTAATCACTTCCTCCACAACGCTGAGGGACTTCAAGCTCTGTAAATTCGAAACATACCTCGAAAGTAGCTACTGTGTTTTGGATACCAAGTTTCTCATTGTTTCCCACCCTGAAATCTGCACTGGCCAAAGAGAGGTTTACAGCGAAGAGTTTTGGCAGTTTCGGAGAGTTCGGGAACCTGCCAGATCCAATTAGAATAGGATTTGGAGGGGGATATTATACTATAATTGCATTAAGGAGCCCCCACAATAGACAATAGTATAGGTAATTATGAAGGCACCTATATTATATTAAACCCTCGGTCCTAAGCCCGTTACCCGTTCGGGCTTAGGAGTCACGGCTCCATGTTAGGCTGTTGGGGTTCAGGAGATGTCGGCCAGGCATAGAATATGCGATAAACCTTCACGATCCCGGAGCACTATACTCCTCAACGCCTAAAGTCCTCGGGTCCTTACATAGGTCGTTGCTAGACAGAGTATTGGAGCTAAACGCTGTGATATAGGGGGCCGAACGTATGAGAATAGGCTTGTGGGCCATACGTTAGAAGGCTACTCGTAGCGAAATAGGGATACCGTCGCCAATACCCCTTGTGCAGATCCATATCTGCTGGATCATCAAGCCGTGACCTACGGGTTGTGAATATTAGGGAATGAAAGTCAGGTCCCTTTAAGCAAACCCCCACAAGGTACCGCTTAAGGCTTAAGGTGAATCGAGTAAACAATGCCGAACAGGGTTTCTTATCGGTTGCGGGTGTTCGGGGATGTCGACTGCGACTTGCCTACGCCATCAGGGCCTTCTAACACTGCCCATGTTCTAGGCAGAAGTGGATTTGAACAGCCTCCTGCTTGTGCGTTCCGACAGTCTGAGTCCGGTCTGGAAACGGTATTACGTCGGTGCGGATCTCATAGCTAAGGCGCAGGAAGCTGTGCAAAACCAACTGTTTAGGATGAGAAAAGCACATTGGTAGCCAATATGTGCGACGCGTTGAAGTTTCTCACAGGACAAGCCCAATCAAAGATTCCCGGAAAATCAATGGTTCAAGGCTTAAGGGTTGTGTGTTGGTCAAACCCATCCTGACTTTTCGCAGCAGTCTGACAAGAACTGAAGCCAAAGCCCTAAACCCTAAACCCTAAACCCTAAACCCCAAAGAGGGAGTGAGGCTGTCTGAGGCTCTGGATGTTGGGGAAGACGTCACGCTGATGCGCGCCCTCCACCCCCATCCACTCAGCAATAGGCATAAGGACCTTCAGTCACCAGGTTCCCCAGCAGCCGGGTTTAGGGTTTAGGGTTTAGGGTTTAGGGTTTAGGTTTTAGCCCCCTACTAGTTAGAAGAAGGGTGCCCTGTCTCCTACGGTCTGGTTTTTATGAGGGAACCCATAATGGGCACTAACTCCTACAGATCCCGTATAGAACACCTTTAAGAATCCCTTCAAGAGAACCTAGGCCACTATTCGAGTTAGAGCGACAAGGTGGGTCCAGAACTTAGAGGTCATAGCTTTCCTTGCGCCAAATTGATGCTTGAAATCACGGTTTAGTCTAGGGCTTATAAGTTCAGGGTTTAGGGGTTATATTAGTTTAGGGTTTAGGGTGTTTGGGGCACTTCTAAGCATGATCTGCGAGTTTGGTCATCAGTCCTCGAAAGACCGATGCAGTACTAGATGAATTGGTTGCTGGCAGCACGGACGCCGTAGTTCAGTTTTCCTGTGGGTTTATGAAGCCCAGATCGTGCCCAGACCCCTCAATGCATAGTTCCTTTCCTCTTGCATGGTCTCTCTTTGCAGGTCCCAATCCAATCATGCAAGCAAGTTGTCCAACACATTCAGAGTTTAGTAGGGGCCTCAAGCTTAGCCAACAGGTGTCCGTCTAATCGGTTGTGGACTCAAGCCTGTCTCTTGACCATGAATTAACAGGACATGGGGCAAATCCTACTCTACGAAACCCTAAACCCTAAACCCTAAACCCTAAACCCTAAACCGTCCCAAAGGACCATAAGATCATATCACTGTGGAAAACCCTGTGTCCAGAAGGTTTCGGCTTCAGGCTGGGCCTGAAAAAGAAGAACGGAGCTTGGGGGGGTATACTAGGGTTTAGGGTTAAGGGTTTAGGGTTTAGGGTTTAGGGTTTAGGGTTTAGGGGTTTAGGGTTTAGGGTTTAGGGTTTAGGGTTTAGGGCTTCCAGGTTCTACCTGATATACTGATATACTATATGGGGAGACTAAAGGGATACTGGTGCTACGCTTGGTGATATAAATCCTGCATTCCCTTAAAGACCCTAAACTATGGGAATTATGGGATATTCTTCATTGTGGCTAATGCAGGAACCAGAACATTATTCTGACTTCTGTCTTAAGCCAGTCTGGCCGCCAAGCTCGAACTCGAGTTCTGTTCCTTTTGAAAGGACAACATCCACAGCCTTGAGGACTGAAGGGCACCCTAAACCCTTAAGTTTACAATCCGAAACTTATTCGGGTCACCCTTTTTTACACAGGCTTGATTGGAGCTCGCCCGGCCAATGTCCCCCGCAGCACATCGCACTCATGGCGAGATGCCCAAGGCTAAGTACGCACAATCCTCATGATTTTACGAGCTAATCTGTCGGATA